TGTTAAACAAACGCTGCACAAAACCCTTGGATGAAACCGTCATCAGTTATTAATATTTATATTCAAATTGAAACTCGAAGACTGAGGTTTAGCTGAAGGACTCATGGATCAGCTGCAGCAGAGCGTGGCCCTCAGCTCTGGGGACACATTCATTCTGCTCTGGAAGGGGGCCAGAGGGCTGCACTGAGGGGGCCAGAGGGCTGCACTGAGGGGGCCAGAGGGCTGCACAGAGGGGGCCAGAGGGCTGCACAGAGGGGGCCAGAGGGGGCCAGAGGGCTGCACAGAGGGGGCCAGAGGGCTGCACTGAGGGGGCCAGAGGGCTGCACAGAGGGGGCCAGAGGGCTGCACTGAGGGGGCCAGAGGGCTGCACAGAGGGGGCCAGAGCGGGGCCAAAGGGCTGCACTGAGGGCTGCACAGAGGGGGCCAGAGGGGGCCAAAGGGCTGCACAGAGGGCTGCACTGAGGGGGCCAGAGGGCTGCACTGAGCGGGCTAGAGTGACATGTCGGGGAACCAATGTGATTTTATTAACTTTATTAACAAACAAGATGGCGGCGCGTGTGGTCGCCACGGCTCTTTGGCGCTCTCTGTTGTTACTGTTTGTGTCTCTGCTCCTTCTGGAGATTATGTAGAGTTTTGATTTCTTCTTGATTTTATTCTGCTTTAACTTGTTTGCACCAAGAGCCAAAGTTTTTCCTAGTTTGTGACTCCCTGTTTCTCACATGGCAATAAAAGGATTCTGGTTCTGGTTCTGGTTCTGGCAAGCCAGGTCTGTGGAGAGGCAGGTCAGGTCTGTGGAGAGGCAGGCCAGGTCTGTGGAGAGGCAAGCCAGGTCTGTGGAGAGACAAGCCAGGTCTGTGGAGAGGCAAGCCAGGTCTGTGGAGAGACAAGCCAGGTCTGTGGAGAGGCAAGCCAGGTCTGTGGAGAGACAAGCCAGGTCTGTGGAGAGGCAAGCCAGGTCTGTGGAGAGGCAGGCCAGGTCTGTGGAGAGGCAGGCCAGGTCTGTGGAGAGGCAAGCCAGGTCTGTGGAGAGGCAAGCCAGGTCTGTGGAGAGACAAGCCAGGTCTGTGGAGAGACAAGCCAGGTCTGTGGAGAGGCAAGCCAGGTCTGTGGAGAGGCAGGCCAGGTCTGTGGAGAGGCAGGCCAGGTCTGTGGAGAGGCAAGCCAGGTCTGTGGAGAGACAAGCCAGGTCTGTGGAGAGGCAAGCCAGGTCTGTGGAGAGACAAGCCAGGTCTGTGGAGAGGCAAGCCAGGTCTGTGGAGAGGCAAGCCAGGTCTGTGGAGAGACAGGCCAGGTCTGTGGAGAGACAGGCCAGGTCTGTGGAGAGACAAGCCAGGTCTGTGGAGAGGCAAGCCAGGTCTGTGGAGAGGCAGGCCAGGTCTGTGGAGAGGCAAGCCAGGTCTGTGGAGAGGCAAGCCAGGTCTGTGGAGAGGCAAGCCAGGTCTGTGGAGAGGCAAGCCAGGTCTGTGGAGAGGCAAGCCAGGTCTGTGGAGAGGCAAGGCAGGTCTGTGGAGAGACAAGCCAGGTCTGTGGAGAGGCAAGCCAGGTCTGTGGAGAGGCAAGCCAGGTCTGTGGAGAGACAAGCCAGGTCTGTGGAGAGACAAGCCAGGTCTGTGGAGAGACAAGCCAGGTCTGTGGAGAGGCAAGCCAGGTCTGTGGAGAGACAAGCCAGGTCTGTGGAGAGGCAAGCCAGGTCTGTGGAGAGGCAGGCCAGGTCTGTGGAGAGGCAGGCCAGGTCTGTGGAGAGGCAAGCCAGGTCTGTGGAGAGACAAGCCAGGTCTGTGGAGAGGCAGGCCAGGTCTGTGGAGAGGCAGGCCAGGTCTGTGGAGAGGCAGGCCAGGTCTGTGGAGAGGCAGCCAGGTCTGTGGAGAGACAAGCCAGGTCTGTGGAGAGGCAGGCCAGGTCTGTGGAGAGGCAAGCCAGGTCTGTGGAGAGGCAAGCCAGGTCTGTGGAGAGGCAGGCCAGGTCTGTGGAGAGGCAGGCCAGGTCTGTGGAGAGGCAGGCCAGGTCTGTGGAGAGGCAGGCCAGGTCTGTGGAGAGGCAGGCCAGGTCTGTGGAGAGGCAAGCCAGGTCTGTGGAGAGGCAAGCCAGGTCTGTGAAGAGACAAGCCAGGTCTGTGGAGAGGCAAGCCAGGTCTGTGAAGAGACAAGCCAGGTCTGTGGAGAGGCAAGCCAGGTCTGTGAAGAGACAAGCCAGGTCTGTGGAGAGGCAAGCCAGGTCTGTGGAGAGACAAGCCAGGTCTGTGGAGAGGCAAGCCAGGTCTGTGGAGAGGCAAGCCAGGTCTGTGGAGAGACAAGCCAGGTCTGTGGAGAGGCAAGCCAGGTCTGTGGAGAGGCAAGGCAGGTCTGTGGAGAGACAAGCCAGGTCTGTGGAGAGGCAAGCCAGGTCTGTGGAGAGACAAGCCAGGTCTGTGGAGAGGCAAGCCAGGTCTGTGGAGAGGCAAGCCAGGTCTGTGGAGAGACAAGCCAGGTCTGTGGAGAGGCAGGCCAGGTCTGTGGAGAGACAAGCCAGGTCTGTGGAGAGGCAGGCCAGGTCTGTGGAGAGTCTGTGGAGAGGCAGGCCAGGTCTGTGGAGAGGCAAGCCAGGTCTGTGGAGAGACAAGCCAGGTCTGTGGAGAGGCAAGCCAGGTCTGTGGATGGGGAAAAGTTAAAAAGTGCTTGTTTGGAGTTGTATATTGATTGTGTACATATTTATGTCCTGGTTTAAGAAATATCAGTGGATCCAGCAGCTTAAAATAATCTTCACTTTGATTTTGTTTTAAATTATGGGAGGGGGATTTCATAAAACAGTTCTCAAATCAAAAAACAAACTTCTGGAATGCGTGTGTGGAGCGTAAAATGTAGACCATAGACCGTAGACCGTAGACCATAGACCGTAGACAGTAGACCATAGACCATAGACCATAGACGGTAGAGCGCAGACCATAGACAGTAGACCATAGACCGTAGACCGCAGAACGCAGACCATAGACCGTAGACTGTAGACCGTAGACCGCAGACCACAGACCATAGTCTATGGTCTACTGTCTGTCGGCCGTAGACCGCAGACCATAGACCATAGACAGTAGACCATAGACCGTAGACCACAGGCCATAGACCGTAGACTGTAGGCCCTAGACCGTAGACCGCGGGCCGTAGGCCGTAGACTGTAGACTGTAGGCCCTAGACCGTAGACCGCGGGCCGCAGGCCGTAGACCGCAGACTGTAGACTGTAGGCCGTAGACCGCAGACCGCAGACCGCAGACCATAGACAGTAGACCATAGACCGTAGACCATAGACCGTAGACCGTAGACTGTAGACTGTAGACCGCAGACCACAGACCATAGACAGTAGACCATAGACTGTCGGCCGTAGACCGCAGACCATAGACCATAGACAGTAGACCATAGACCGTAGACCGCAGGCCATAGACCGTAGACTGTAGACCGTAGACTGTAGACTGTAGACCATAGACTGTAGGCCGTAGACTGTAGGCCGTAGACTGTAGGCCCTAGACCGTAGGCCGCGGGCCGTAGACTGTAGACTGTAGGCCCTAGACCGTAGACCGCAGGCCGTAGACCGCAGACTGTAGACTGTAGACTGTAGACCCTAGACCGTAGGCCGCAGACCGCAGGCCGTAGACCGTAGACCGTAGACCGCAGACCGTAGACCGCAGACCGTAGACTTACAAACGGACAATGCTAACCCGCTAGCTCAACAAAACCCAACAGGGAAATGCACAGGGACAGTTAAGCTCCAACTCCCTCTGACTCCTTCTGACTTGGACTGAAAAGTAACCTCCTCTAGAGCTCGGTAACCGCTCGTGTCACTCTCACCATTTTGGACTTAATTTATATTATTTTCTTATCCAGATATGAGCCGTAAGGATTGACCAATAAGATGCCACACTGACCATGTATAGTTTTGACTTCAGATCAGGCTCAGTGCTCGTTAAAGCAGGAAAAGAAAATAAGCTTTATGGATTTAGACACAAGAGCACATGCTGCAAGAGTTTAATTGGATTATGGAGCTAAAACAAATACAGGGATAAATGTGCGATAAGAATACAGTGTAATGTGATCCTTGGGGGGATTGTTTATCGGGAAAAATATATTAATGAAACGTAGCATGAAAGATAAAATGGACTTAGTTGTCTGCAGGAGGCAAATCTGCACATGAAAAAGATAATTACAATACAGGAAAGTAGGTTAACGCTGCAGCTGTAACGTCTGCTGTTGTAATGTAATGTAACTCTACAGACTCTAATATATTATTATCATTATTATTGTTATTAATATTATTTATTTATATCATTATTATTATCATTATTATTATTATTAAAACACAGCGTTACTACAGTCCTGGTTTATTCTTGGTCCAACCCATGGTGCTTTTATTCCAGATTATCTTTAGCCACAGGAGGTCACGTCCCCCACAGATGCACCGTCAAATGTATGTTTGATTAGCATGTATAAATGTATGTTTTATTATTATTAGCATGTAGCGTGTCATCAGGAAACTCTCCGGTTCCGTCTCAGGTCCTTCTGGCGGCGCCTCTGTCTCCAAAGCGAGCGTTCGACTGCACACAACAATAACACTCCTTCTCACTGTCACAATGTAAATTAGCGAGCATGAAGTGAATAATAGGAGCGGGCCCACGAGATGGAGCAACATACGCCGCCGCAGATAAATGCCAGCGCTAAATAATAATCATCCATCATCAGGAAGCAGATTGTTGGAGGAATAAGACCGCGGCCAGAAGTAAATACCTTTTGTCAAGATTCTGTGCTTTCTCTTCCCCGTTTGCTGATCTCGGCTTTCACTGCAGAAAGGGCTGAAAAATAAGAAAAATGTGTCTTAATCTGAGCACATTCTGCCTTAAAACAAGATTTACCAACGGGACAAAGCAAAATGATTGGGTTTTAAATAAATAGAAGAATGAAGAACAGCTCTTGAAATAAGACTTAAATGACAGATTCAAATTAATTTATGCAGTAAAACCACATTGGAATACATGTGCAAAAGTCCCCAGTGTGCAGCAGACAAGTACAGAAACAAAACAGTAAACAATTGGTAAAAGTGCACTTTATTAATCCCCGTCGGGCACTTCATCCTCTGCATTTGACCCTGATGCCCTAAGGCTTACATCAGGAGCAGTGGTCGCCGTAGCAACAGCGCCCGGGAACCCATCTCCAGATGTTGATGCTCGGCTTGGTCAGGACCAGAGCTGGAGGATTTAACCTAGTGAGCATGTTTTTAGTGGTAGGGGAAACCGGAGCGCCAGGAGGAAACCTTCGCAAGCACAGGGAGAACATGCAAACTCCACTCAGAAAGACCCTGTTCCGACCAGTATTTGAATCCAGTACCTTCTTGCTGAGAGGCGAGAGTGCTAACCACTCAACCACCGTGCCGCCCACTTGACACTTCGAAGAATCTTGGTTAAAAACTCAAAATAAGATGAAAAACTCAAAAGAATGAACTAAACTCAGGTTTATTTTTGTTATTTTCTTAAAGTACGATTGATTATTATTATTATTATTATTATTATTATTAATAAAGGTAAAACCTACTTCTTTATGTCCTCATCTCTGATGGTCCTCTGCAGTGTTGTGTAGGAGTGGGATGTACAGAAGAAGAAGTGTGGTCAGTGTCGAGGAGGACCTGATACAAATCAGACTCTCATGGGTTCGTGACTCACCGGCTCCTAATGCACTCACATCGACGAGGTTCTCACTCAGGGCTCGGGTTCTGAGGTCTCATAATTATAGTAATTCTTTATTTTCTCTGGTTTATCCGTTTACTTCCCTTTGTCCTATTCTGGGAGTGGGGGGGCCTCACTGATCCCCGGGGGCTTCAGGCAAAGTGGGTTAAGTGTCTTGCCCAAGGACAACGACAGCAGACATCAGTGGGAGTTGGTAGAGAAGGTCTTGAGGGGGGATTGAACCCACAACCTTCAGGCTCAAAGGCCGAAGCTCAATAGGTCTCAATGTAATGAGTGAATGGATGGTGTTTGGTCGGAGGTTTTGATGGACCACTGTGTTCTGGTCTCGCTTCACCGTGTGGAGAGACTAGAACTATATCTGACTCTGAACATTGTAAAACGTTTGGGTCTGTCCCTTGGTCTGTAATAATGCGCTATACATATAAACATTACTTACTGAACTGAATAACTGTATTTATCTAAACACAGGCTTGTAGCTTTAGATAGTTTCTATCTGTAGTCCCAAAGCCACTCACAAACACATTCCACCCTCTCCCAGTGCACATGTCTTAGGGCAAACCGGAGCACCTAGAAGAAACCTGAGCAGACACAGGGAGAACATGCAAACTCCACAGAAAGGCCCCGTCCTCTCCTCTCTCTCCTCAAACAGCAGCAAGATTTAGATCAGAGATGTTTTATCAATATGAATCTCCCTCTCTATCACAGGCCTAATCACGACAACAGAAGACGCCTGTTTTGAGAAAATGTTTATGCCAAAAACACACAAAAATACACACATTCTGTTTCTGCGCCAGTCGCCGGCGTTGGTTCCATTTGTTTGCTTCTTCTTATAAAAGATGGATAATGAGAACACAGGGGACGGCAACTGTAGGCTCCGGATTATTCACACACAACTGCAGTGTGTGTAGCAGTGTGTAGTCGGGGCTAGTAGTGGTGTGTTGTAGTGTGTAGTGGTGTGTCGTAGTGTGTAGTGGTGTGTCGTAGTGTGTAGTGGTGTGTCGTAGTGTGTAGTGGTGTGTCGTAGTGTGTAGTGGTGTGTCGTAGTGTGTCGTAGTGTGTAGTGGTGTGTTGTAGTGTGTAGTGGTGTGTAGTGGTGTGTCGTAGTGTGTAGTGGTGTGTCGTAGTGTGTAGTGGTGTGTATTGTGTAGTGGTCATTGTTTTGAGAGGCCGCCATCTTGATAATCCTCAAAATTTCAGCAAAACAAATGAGAGATCATCACACCTGTGTAACCCTGTGTATCTGTCATCACACCTGTGTAACCCTGTGCTCTGTCATCACACCTGTGTAACCCTGTGCTCTGTCATCACACCTGTGTTACCCTGTGTATCTGTCATCACACCTGTGTAACCCTGTGTATCTGTCATCACACCTGTGTTACCCTGTGTATCTGTCATCACACCTGTGTAACCCTGTGTATCTGTCATCACACCTGTGTAACCCTGTGTATCTGTCATCACACCTGTGTTACCCTGTGTATCTGTCATCACACCTGTGTAACCCTGTGTATCTGTCATCACACCTGTGTAACCCTGTGTATCTGTCATCACACCTGTGTAACCCTGTGTATCTGTCATCACACCTGTGTTACCCTGTGTATCTGTCATCACACCTGTGTAACCCTGTGTATCTGTCATCACACCTGTGTTACCCTGTGTATCTGTCATCACACCTGTGTAACCCTGTGTATCTGTCATCACACCTGTGTAACCCTGTGCTCTGTCATCACACCTGTGTAACCCTGTGTATCTGTCATCACACCTGTGTAACCCTGTGTATCTGTCATCACACCTGTGTAACCCTGTGTATCTGTCATCACACCTGTGTAACCCTGTGCTCTGTCATCACACCTGTGTAACCCTGTGTATCTGTCATCACACCTGTGTTACCCTGTGTATCTGTCATCACACCTGTGTAACCCTGTGTATCTGTCATCACACCTGTGTTACCCTGTGTATCTGTCATCACACCTGTGTAACCCTGTGTATCTGTCATCACACCTGTGTAACCCTGTGCTCTGTCATCACACCTGTGTAACCCTGTGTATCTGTCATCACACCTGTGTAACCCTGTGTATCTGTCATCACACCTGTGTTACCCTGTGTATCTGTCATCACACCTGTGTAACCCTGTGTATCTGTCATCACACCTGTGTAACCCTGTGTATCTGTCATCACACCTGTGTAACCCTGTGTATCTGTCATCACACCTGTGTAACCCTGTGCTCTGTCATCACACCTGTGTAACCCTGTGTATCTGTCATCACACCTGTGTTACCCTGTGTATCTGTCATCACACCTGTGTAACCCTGTGTATCTGTCATCACACCTGTGTAACCCTGTGCTCTGTCATCACACCTGTGTAACCCTGTGCTCTGTCATCACACCTGTGTAACCCTGTGTATCTGTCATCACACCTGTGTAACCCTGTGCTCTGTCATCACACCTGTGTAACCCTGTGTATCTGTCATCACACCTGTGTTACCCTGTGTATCTGTCATCACACCTGTGTAACCCTGTGCTCTGTCATCACACCTGTGTAACCCTGTGTATCTGTCATCACACCTGTGTAACCCTGTGTATCTGTCATCACACCTGTGTAACCCTGTGTATCTGTCATCACACCTGTGTTACCCTGTGTATCTGTCATCACACCTGTGTTACCCTGTGTATCTGTCATCACACCTGTGTAACCCTGTGTATCTGTCATCACACCTGTGTAACCCTGTGCTCTGTCATCACACCTGTGTAACCCTGTGCTCTGTCATCACACCTGTGTAACCCTGTGTATCTGTCATCACACCTGTGTAACCCTGTGTATCTGTCATCACACCTGTGTAACCCTGTGCTCTGTCATCACACCTGTGTAACCCTGTGTATCTGTCATCACACCTGTGTTACCCTGTGTATCTGTCATCACACCTGTGTAACCCTGTGTATCTGTCATCACACCTGTGTTACCCTGTGTATCTGTCATCACACCTGTGTAACCCTGTGTATCTGTCATCACACCTGTGTAACCCTGTGTATCTGTCATCACACCTGTGTAACCCTGTGTATCTGTCATCACACCTGTGTAACCCTGTGCTCTGTCATCACACCTGTGTAACCCTGTGTATCTGTCTTGTCGTTGGTTTCAGTTTTTCATTTTCACTTCATACTGTTATAGTTCAGCTTCTTTGCTTTATCTCGAACAATCTTCAGTCCTTTCATGGAATCGTCTCGAGTGTCCACAGAGATCAGCATCATGCATCTATCCAATTACTTCCGCTTCATCCGTTGCCGGGTCGTGGGGCATTAGTATCGGTATCGGACTTGGAAAAACCTGGATCTATACCTGCTTTATGCACACACACACATCTGTACACACACATCTGTACACACACATCTGTACACACACATCTGCACACACACATCTGCACACACACATCTGCACACACACATCTGCACACACACATCTGCACACACACTCACATCTGCACACACACATCTACACACACACATCTGCACACACACTCACATCTGCACACACACATCTGCACACGCACAACCGCACACACCTCTGCTCTGCACACACACATCTACACACCCACATTTGCAGTGTCATGTTTCCAAAAAGTAATCTGTGCCCAGGCCAGAGGAGGAGGCTGCGGCGGTGCCTCCAACCTGCGTCTTGCGGGTGATAGTCGGTGTGGCAGTCGGTGTGGCAGTCTGTGTGGCAGTCGGTGTGGCAGTCTCTGTGGCAGTCTGTGTGGCAGTCTCTGTGGCAGTCTGTGTGGCAGTCGGTGTGGCAGTCTCTGTGGCAGTCGGTGTGGCAGTCGGTGTGGCAGTCTGTGTGGCAGTCTGTGTGGCAGTCGGTGTGGCAGTCGGTGTGGCAGTCGGTGTGGCAGTTGGTGTGGCAGCCTGTGTGGCAGTCGGTGTGGCAGTCGGTGTGGCAGTCGGTGTGGCAGTCGGTGTGGCAGTCTGTGTGGCAGTCGGTGTGGCAGTCTGTGTGGCAGTCGCGATGGATGAAGAGCTCTGGCAGAAGTGACACTTGTCTTTGCCAACGTTTGCTGCATATTGTTCGTTCTTGGCCTCGTGATGCATGAGCTGTGAGGCAGAGGTGCTGACTTCAGTCGAAAAAAGAAGAAAGACAAAAAAGAAAAAGGCTGGAGTTGCATCAAGGCAGTAAAAACAATCCACCCCCCGCTTATCCCGAGACGTCACGGTTTAAAAATAGATCTCCACAAGAACTCTCTCATCAGTCCTCTCCAGCCTCTGCTCTGCACCTCCCTCTTTATTAGACCTCGGGGCCGTGATTACCTACAATGTGGAAAGTGGTTCTGAGGGTCTGAGGTCTGAGGGTCTGAGGTCTGAGGGTCTGAGGGTCTGAGGTCTGAGGTCTGAGGGTCTGAGGTCTGAGGGTCTGAGGTCTGAGGGTCTGAGGTCTGAGGGTCTGAGGTCTGAGGGTCTGAGGGTCTGAGGTCTGAGGGTCTGAGGTCTGAGGGTCTGAGGGTCTGGTCTGAGGTCTGAGGGTCTGAGGGTCTGAGGTCTGAGGGTCTGAGGGAGGGTCTGAGGGTCTGAGGTCTGGGGTCTGAGGGTCTGAGGGGTCTGAGGTCTGAGGGTCTGAGGGTCTGAGGTCTGAGGTCTGAGGGTCTGAGGTCTGAGGGTCTGAGGGTCTGAGGTCTGAGGTCTGAGGGTCTGAGGTCTGAGGGTCTGAGGTCTGAGGGTCTGAGGGTCTGAGGGTCTGAGGTCTGAGGGTCTGAGGGTCTGAGGGTCTGAGGTCTGAGGGTCTGAGGGTCTGAGGTCTGAGGTCTGAGGGTCTGAGGTCTGAGGGTCTGAGGTCTGAGGGTCTGAGGGGGTCTGAGGTCTGAGGTCTGAGGGTCTGAGGTCTGAGGGTCTGAGGTCTGAGGGTCTGAGGGTCTGAGGTCTGAGGTCTGAGGGTCTGAGGTCTGAGGGTCTGAGGTCTGAGGGTCTGAGGGTCTGAGGTCTGAGGGTCTGAGGTCTGAGGGTCTGAGGTCTGAGGGTCTGAGGTCTGAGGTCTGAGGGTCTGAGGGTCTGAGGTCTGAGGGTCTGAGGGTCTGAGGTCTGAGGGTCTGAGGGTCTGAGGTCTGAGGGTCTGAGGGTCTGAGGTCTGAGGGTCTGAGGGTCTGAGGTCTGAGGGTCTGAGGTCTGAGGGTCTGAGGTCTGAGGGTCTGAGGGTCTGAGGGTCTGAGGTCTGAGGTCTGAGGGTCTGAGGGTCTGAGGGTCTGAGGGTCTGAGGGTCTGAGGGTCTGAGGGTCTGAGGTCTGAGGTCTGAGGGTCTGAGGTCTGAGGGTCTGAGGTCTGAGGGTCTGAGGTCTGAGGTCTGAGGGTCTGAGGTCTGAGGGTCTGAGGTCTGAGGGTCTGAGGGTCTGAGGGTCTGAGGTCTGAGGTCTGAGGGTCTTGAGGGTCTGAGGGTCTGAGGTCTGAGGGTCTGAGGGTCTGAGGGTCTGAGGTCTGAGGTCTGAGGGTCTGAGGTCTGAGGGTCTGAGGTCTGAGGGAGGCTGCAGGAGGTGGGAGGCTGCAGGAGGCTGTTCGAGGTGGGAGGCTGCAGGAGGTGGGAGGTGGTAGGCTGTAGGAGGTGGGAGGCTGTAGGAAGTGGGAGGTGGTAGGCTGTAGGAGGTGGGAGGCTGTAGGAGGCTGTTCGAGGTGGGAGGCTGCAGGAGGTGGGAGGTGGTAGGCTGTAGGAGGTGGGAGGCTGTAGGAAGTGGGAGGCTGCAGGAGGTGGGAGGCTGTAGGAGGCTGTTCGAGGTGGGAGGCTGCAGGAGGTGGGAGGTGGTAGGCTGTAGGAGGTGGGAGGCTGTAGGAAGTGGGAGGCTGCAGGAGGTGGGAGGCTGTAGGAGGTGGGAGGCTGCAGGAGGTGGGAGGCTGCAGGAGGTGGGAGGCTGTAGGAGGTGGGAGGCTGTAGGAGGTGGGAGGCTGTAGGAGGTGGGAGGCTGTAGCAGGTGGGAGGCTGCAGGAGGTGGGAGGTGGTAGGCTGTAGGAGGTGGGAGGCTGCAGGAGGTGGGAGGCTGTAGGAGGTGGGAGGCTGTAGGAGGTGGGAGGCTGTAGGAGGTGGGAGGCTGTAGCAGGTGGGAGGCTGCAGGAGGTGGGAGGTGGTAGGCTGTAGGAGGTGGGAGGCTGCAGGAGGTGGGAGGCTGCAGGAGGTGGGAGGCTGCAGGAGGTGGGAGGCTGTATGAGGTGGGAGGCTGTAGGAGGTGGGAGGCTGTAGGAGGTGGGAGGCTGCAGGAGGTGGGAGGCTGTAGGAGGTGGGAGGCTGTAGGAGGTGGGAGGCTGCAGGAGGTGGGAGGCTGTAGGAGGCTGTTCGAGGTGGGAGGCTGCAGGAGGTGGGAGGTGGTAGGCTGTAGGAGGTGGGAGGCTGTAGGAAGTGGGAGGCTGCAGGAGGTGGGAGGCTGTAGGAGGTGGGAGGCTGCAGGAGGTGGGAGGCTGTAGGAGGTGGGAGGGCTGTAGCAGGTGGGAGGCTGCAGGAGGTGGGAGGTGGTAGGCTGTAGGAGGTGAGAGGCTGCAGGAGGTGGGAGGCTGCAGGAGGTGGGAGGCTGCAGGAGGTGGGAGGCTGTATGAGGTGGGAGGCTGTAGGAGGTGGGAGGCTGTAGGAGGTGGGAGGCTGCAGGAGGTGGGAGGCTGTAGGAGGTGGGAGGCTGTAGGAGGTGGGAGGCTGTAGGAGGTGGGAGGCTGTAGGAGGTGGGAGGCTGCAGGAGGTGGGAGGCTGTAGGAGGTGGGAGGCTGTAGGAGGTGGGGGGCTGTAGGAGGTGGTAGGCTGCAGGAGGTGCGAGGCTGCAGGAGGTGCAGGGGGCTGCGATCCCATGGTGGAACAAACATGTCAGATTGTGTAAAAATGATGGGATGTGACGTCTCCTGTAGCCATGGCGACAGGACACGACCCCAGCTACTCTCCCCAAAGCCTGAATGTTTTTCTTCAGTTTGCATCATGGGGTCGGATCCCGCTCCTGTTCCCGAGGCTGGAAACGTTTAAGTTAATTTAAGTCGACTGGTCGTTTGAATAGATTTTAATTTCAGATTTTTTCTTTTTTGTTTGGCTTCAGGGCAGAGCAGGGAGAGCTGATAACTAATTTCCAAAAGTGAGAAGGATCGTTTTATTCATATGTGCAGCACGTTGAGGGTTCAATTAATTTTTCAGAGCAATTACATCAATACTTTAAGGCTTTTCTAAAATGAGGAATGGTGAGGTTGGTTATTGCTGCGTCTGCAGGACTCACTGAGCTCCACACTTCACTCTGTGGTCGATATGATGGAGCTGAAGGTTCTTTCACATATTTACAGTAACATACAGTATTATTAAGTTATTCTTATATTTCCATGACCAGAGAGGAGCAGATGATGCTTCATTTGTCCCACAGAAATGTCAGTGTTGCATTGTCAGGTGCAGAACAGTAGGAAAGAGGAGAAAACAGCATCAGTCTATAATAAAATAACATCTCTAGCTTCAGCAGAAAAAAATAAGATCTAAGTACAAAATCTCGGACTTTAGCATCATAAATAAGTATAAAAGAATAGATTACATTAAATCAATAATAGCAATTTAAGAGTAAATATGTGTCTGTGTGACATTAGTGTCATTTATTTTCAACTGTGTGTATTTATTTATGTGTGTGTAACAGTAACAGGATAATTACATAATCAAATATGAACAGTCCTCGACAGAATCTATAAACAGTTCATCCTTGAACCTCATGGATCCTATTTGTTTTCTCTGTTTCCTGAGAATTAAATGTTAAAAACAGACTCAAAGCAGCAGCAGACGACTGTGTTCGCGGCTCATTTCTGTGTCGGGATTAAATTATACTTTTCTTTAATCTGTTTACCCCTGATGCACGCCCGGCAAAGTGGATTACACCGAGTCCTGTGCAGGTTTAAAAGGCAAACCATTGAGTTAGCATGTAGCATCGCTAACTTTAGCCAGAGTCGGGGCCAGAGTCGGGGCCAGAGTCGGGGCCAGAGTCGGGGCCAGAGTCGGGCTTTTCCCAGTTTAGTACCAGGGCCACACACCATGCCACTGATGGCCACAATTGGCTCGCAGGCCCTAGTTTGGACAAGCCTGCACAGTATTTTATTATTTTCATTATGTGCTTATTTAATGGGGACAGAACAAGAAGCATAGTTACAGGAACTGATGCTGTGTTTATAGCCGTATCGCTAACAGCTAGTTTGCAGACTTGGTCCCTACACAGTTGGGTTATTTTTAGTCTTTTTTTCTCTCAGTCTCAAAAAATACTTTCACTTTCACTCGTCTTGACAAAAAAACCCAAGAATGACCATCTCCATTACGAGGAAGTTGGCAGAGTCCAGATTATGTTAAAAATCGAGTCAAAGACAAACTGTTGCTGCCGATAAAACCAAATTAGTGAAGCTTTCAACCTAAATACAAACACGGTTTCTGCTTCGTCCACAGCTCATTTGGCTCCGGAGTCGAATCAAAAGAGTTGGTAATTGAGTTCAGATACCTGCGACCTCCTCGTCCGCCTCTGGAGAAACACACTCAGAGTCTGCACTTTTCAATAATGAACAGAAAATACTTGGACTTAACGTGTGAAGTAGAACAACTTTAACAACTGTGTGAAAGGACGAGAAGTTTTACTGAATATCTACTGTTTTTATGGAGAACGGAAGAAAGTCTGGGATCTTACATGTGTTTAGACGTGTGTAGGGTTTGAAGGTCAGTACATGTATGTGTTTAGACGTGTGTAGGGTTTGAAGGTCAGTACATGTATGTGTTTAGACGTGTGTAGGGTTTGAAGGTCAGTACATGTATGTTTAGATGTGTGTAGGGTTTGAAGGTCAGTACATGTATGTGTTTAGACGTGTGTAGGGTTTGAAGGTCAGTACATGTATGTGTTTAGACGTGTGTAGGGTTTGAAGGTCAGTACATGTATGTGTTTAGACGTGTGTAGGGTTTGAAGGTCAGTACATGTATGTGTTTAGACGTGTGTAGGGTTTGAAGGTCAGTACATGTATGTGTTTAGACGTGTGTAGGGTTTGAAGGTCAGTACATGTATGTGTTTAGACGTGTGTAGGGTTTGGGTCAGTACATGTATGTGTTTAGACGTGTGTAGGGTTTAGGGTCAGTACATGTATGTGTTTAGACATGTGTAGGGTTTAGGGTCAGTACATGTATGTGTTTAGACATGTGTAGGGTTTAGGGTCAGTACATGTATGTGTTTAGACGTGTGTAGGGTTTAGGGTCAGTACATGTATGTATTTAGACGTGTGTAGGGTTTGGGTCAGTACATGTATTAGACGTGTGTAGGGTTTGGGGTCAGTACATGTATGTGTTTAGACGTGTGTAGGGTTTGGGTCAGTACATGTATGTATTAGACGTGTGTAGGGTTTGGGGTCAGTACATGTATTAGACGTGTGTAGGGTTTGGGTCAGTACATGTATGTATTAGACGTGTGTAGGGTTTGGGGTCAGTACATGTATGTGTTTAGACGTGTGTAGGGTTTGAAGGTCAGTACATGTATGTGTTTAGACGTGTGTAGGGTTTGAAGGTCAGTACATGTATGTGTTTAGACGTGTGTAGGGTTTGAAGGTCAGTACATGTATGTGTTTAGACGTGTGTAGGGTTTGGGGTCAGTACATGTATGTGTTTAGACGTGTGTAGGGTTTGGGTCAGTACATGTATGTGTTTAGACGTGTGTAGGGTTTGGGTCAGTACATGTATGTGTTTAGACGTGTGTAGGGTTTGGGTCAGTACATGTATGTGTTTAGACGTGTGTAGGGTTTGGGGTCAGTACATGTATGTGTTTAGACGTGTGTAGGGTTTGGGGTCAGTACATGTATGTGTTTAGACGTGTGTAGGGTTTAGGGTCAGTACATGTATGTGTTTAGACGTGTGTAGGGTTTGGGTCAGTACATGTATGTGTTTAGACGTGTGTAGGGTTTAGGGTCAGTACATGTATGTGTTTAGACGTGTGTAGGGTTTGGGGTCAGTACATGTATGTGTTTAGACGTGTGTAGGGTTTAGGGTCAGTACATGTATGTGTTTAGACGTGTGTAGGGTTTGGGTCAGTACATGTATGTGTTTAGACGTGTGTAGGGTTTAGGGTCAGTACATGTATGTGTTTAGACGTGTGTAGGGTTTGGGGTCAGTACATGTATGTGTTTAGACATGTTTGAGGCTTGTCCTGAACAGATGAGGTAATCTTTGCTTGAGGTTTGTCTTAATTTGAGTAGATTCAGATAAATCCATTTAGTCTTTTTCAGAACTGTTTTCTCCAAGTGAGACATCTGTTGTGTCATTTTAAAACATGTCAAAATTTATTCAAAGTAAGTTTTGCCAAAATTTGAGCAATTTCTGGGTTATTTTTCATTCCTTTTTGCAGTGAGTACTCTGTATTTTCTTGTGATTTGTAAACACACTCAGTGGAAGCCTGAGAAATATAAATCATTAGTTGGTAAATTGTCTATTTTTATATTTCTCTCCTTTTATAATGTGGTCTCATTTGATTGGAGTCTTGAGAATAAGATCATCATGATATGAGTGAATTAAAACATATTGGATGCAGTCGTTCCTAATACAGATCTGGGAAATAGATTTATATAAATGTATTGATCACAAACGTTCTTTAAATAGCAGCAGAACAGAGCTTCATATTGATGTGTATATTTAGAAACCCTGCGCCTGTAATAACGTCTTTGTCTTCCTCGTGCGTGACATTTGCTTCTTGGGACTGGAACGAGCCCGACACTCATTTCTTTCCAACAATCAGGTCTCGCATTAAACAACCTGTTATCTTTCATTTTCACCCACAGCGGCGCAGAAGCATAATGGACTCCAGGGAAAACACACCACACACGGTTGGATTAAGACACGACCCGCGACCGTCTGTGTCTCCACTGCAGCATCGTATTTCTTTGCGTTATTTCCCGAACCTCGACAAAACTCGACAAAAACAGTTGTTTCTGCATAATTCACGAGCAGCGATTGTTTGTGTTTTTGTTTTTTTTTCTTTTGTCCGAAACTAAGACGCAGAAATAACGGTACAGCAGGGTTTTCTGAGCAAAGGTGTATGATTGGGAATATGGTTTTAGACATTACACACGTCTTTTTAATAGTTTGAGATTCCAGCTTTATCTACGTTTCGTTTGCTTCTTGTCTCATGTTATGACATTGTTTTAGTTCATGGACCCCTAGAGGTACGTGAGGGTATTGCTGGAGGTTAACAATGATAACCAGTGTGGGCGGGTCCCGGCTCAAAAGTGTCCAAAATGACGTGCGCTGACATGCTGCAGTACCACCCCGGGCCTGTGGGGCTGGACCCGGAACAAGAATTAGCCACTGCTAACATATAGCATCTTCTTACCTCTGGAAAACGTCTTTACAGGATGGTCCAAAAGTTGTCTCTTGGCCCAAAGCTCCGTTCCACATGTGTGTCAATGCTGAGTGTTCTGGACCAGTCTAGTTTAGTCGCTGTGGACTTTAGAAGTCTCTCGTTTGAGAGTTTGATAAATGAATGGAGCTTGCGCCGGCTGATGCATGCACAGATGTGTTTTTTCAAATTGTTCTTGTGGGCGGGACCACTCGCGGCCATTTTGGATAGCTCCAGTTGGGCACATTTTTTGGCCCATTTGTTTGAACGGCGGAGATAGGCGTGACTCTGTCCGTTAATATATACAGTCTATGATGATTACAAATTATGAGCTACTGTGGCTTGTTACACATCATTTTAAATCACATTAAAACAACCATTTAATTCCATACTAGACGCTGAACCCAGGGCACAATTATTCCTCATGTTAGAATCCAATGTATTTTTATAGCACAGTTAAGTTTACAAAGTGCTGCAC